TTTACTCTTCTTCAATCAACGTGTCTTAGCTTAGGGATGTTTACTTTTTCATGGAACGGGAAACATTTGCGCCTTTTGACTAAGGAACGGGCATATCAGAGGTGAAATCCAGCAAAGAGATCTTAACAACTTCTTGAAATGAACAGTTGTCAATCAGCTCGCTGGACATTGCCTGGTGGAATATCACCTTAAAACAATAGGCAAATCGGACAACGACTACTGCAGATCAATATTGCAAACAAGCATCAGAAACTAAAGAAGATTTAATGTGTAAATTCCTGCTCACATCTGCAAAAGGATGAAATACCTTGAAGGGATACGGCTTACACCCCAAGGAGGTCTTAAGCAGCCTTAGATCCACTTCACTTAGGGTCAATGATTTCCTTTGTCTTCATTGACTAGGGCGAGATAAATTGTTCCGCTTGTCGTGTTCCAGGGGGAGGCTTGTTAAGCCTCCACCCAATGCCAAGGAATGGTTGTGGTCCAAGGAATGGTGTTACAGCTCCTTGTTTCGCAAGTTGATCTGATATTTCATTCCTCTTGACTTCTTGGTGCCCTGGCATAGGGGACTCTGTTGCAAGACGTCAGATGCTTCAGGAGTTGTGGGTAGTCCCATATGTCTGGACTTAGTGACAGAGCTACTCCGAGCTCTTAGTGTTGCCTGATTGTCGGAGTTGATATAGATCTTCGCAGGTCTCTTTCGAGAGACTTTCTAGCGCAAAGTTCTAATGCGAATATTTCTGCTTGAAACATGGTTGGGCATTCTCCTAGAGCTGTTGATAGTCTACAAATTGGGCCGTATACCCCCTGCTCCAGTCTCATGCTCTGTCACTTTGAAAGAGTATTCAAATTCGTATCTGTGTTGCATGTGGTCAACTAGTTTTGTCTTCATATTTATGCATTTTCTCATAATGTTCGTGTGGCCGACAAAGTCCCCTTTCTTTGGTTTTACGGTCTGCATTATTTTCGAAGCTCCCATGTGGGCCTCTTTCCTGACTATTATATCTAGAAGGGGGGGGGGCACATGATCTCATTTGCAGCGATTGGACAGGTGTTCATTTCCCTGTAATTCCAAGACTTGCATACCTTTGTGCAGTTGCCAATCGGTTTTGCGCTGTCTGTTGTTTTACTTTTGGCCACCATACTATTGCAGCGTAAGTGAGCATGGGGTCAATCATTGTAATAATCGATAGATCATTTTTGGCTTTAGATTCCAAGTCTTGCTGAATAATCTCTGACATGTCCAATATATCGCTGTCGGTTACTCTTTCAAGATAGACACAATTCTGCTAATCATTTTGCTTTCATATTTCTCAATGATTGTACATGTACTAAAAGATATGTAGTATCAGTAAAAAATATAGACAGGGATCCTTCTAACATCGCTGAAAACCCAGATTAATCAAGCTATCATTAAATAATGAATTCCTGCATTTTGGTGACTGTCGTAGACCGTAGAGTGCTTTCTGTAATTGACATACTAAATTTGGATTTTTGACATTAAGTCCTTCTGGAGGATATATAAAAACAGGGTCTTTCAGCGTTCCAGTAAAGAATGCAGACTTAATATCTAACTGACATACCTGTAAGTCGAATTCTACATACAAACACAAAAGCAACCTGACACTAGACATTTTTGCTACAGGAGCATACACATCATCACCGATTACACTCTGTTTGAAACCTCTTGCCACTAATCGAGCTTTCTTTTTCACTTGTCCCTCAACAACCTTTTCACTAAAAACCCATCTTGAGTCAATTATTTCTGCACTTCTTAGTGGTACCACTGACTTCCATGTTTCATTTTCCTCCAAAGCACTTAATTCTTTTTTTATAGCTTCTTACCATCCATGATTTTGCACGACTCCCTCTGAAAAAAACTTTGGCACGTCTGCAAACAAATCTCCTGCTGATAGTGCTGCGAAGAAGTTCATATCATTTTCAAATTCATAATCTTGAAAGTACTTTGGTGGATTTATTCTTCTTGAACTTCTTCTTGCTTGTCTCTGTTCCATGTTGTTCTGTCTTTCGATTTCTTTACATTTTTCCTTTTTTTGTTCATTTTCTTGTCTTTTTTCGGGGAAATTCCTATCATCTTCTGGTTTATTTTCGCCACTTTCACTTGTAATGAGTATTATTCGGTTGTCTAATTCCCTCTTCGGTTCTTCGATTCCTTCCATATACTATATTCCCTTCTTTTTCATTCCACAAGCGATACTCATCGTTTGCATAACCCACCATAATCATTTTTTCTGATCTCGGGTTTAACTTTGACTTTCTCATCTCCTTCGGTATTAAATTGTATGCATTACATCCAAATAATTTTATTTTCTCCATATTAGATTATTTCTGCTGGGGTTTTATGATTTTCTAATGCTCTTCCGCTCTATTCGGTTTATCAAATACACACTCACACAGCTTCACCCAACATTTCTTTTCTCATTTCTGCGTCAAATATCAAGCATCTTGATTTCTCCATAATGGTACGAATAAACCGTTCTGCAGTTCCATTCTGTTCTGGATTGTATGCCACAGTATATTGAATTTTTATTCCATTGTGATTAGAGAATGATTTAAAATCTCTTGACATGTACTCTCCCCCGTTATCGCACCTCAGTTTTTCAATTTCGGTACTTGTTGAATGGGGTGTGGCTACATTATTAACACCACGACTTTGGCTGAAATTCCCTCTAGGTATATGTTCCACTAGGCCTTCTCCGGTTTCCTCTTCCCCCTTTGGTTTCTTGACATAGATTCCATATTTGGATTGTCTTCTTCTTTCAGCTTTGCCTGTCTAGATTTTTCCATGAGCAATTTGTTCTTTTCAAAACCAATATCGACTGCATTTTGGTTCTGACAAAAGATAATGTCGATTGCTGTTATGACATTTTGGAAAGATTCCGGCATGGTTGACAATAATAGGGAACAATCATATTTTTCAAAGTATTTTTTTTCTTATTGCTTATGTTTTCAAATATAAAACGTATATGTTCTTTTTGTTCCATGGTCTCATTAAAATAAAAAAATTATTTTAAATTTCAAATTATTTTCGTTGGCGCGAAAACGATTAACTTCAAGATGGTGGAACTTGTGACGTCAAATGTCTGTAAACACAACGTTAAGGTCTGTTCTCACAAGAGCCTCTGACACTGCAAACTGTTAAAAAGAATCGCTTAGCTCGAACCTTCGACTGCATTGAAAGCAGTTTATGTAGTGTCTCCGTATTTAGTGTCATATTGTGACATTTTGTGTTTCAAATAGTTCATCATGATTGATACAGGATTTAGAAAAGCGCAGTCTGACAATCTTCCCTCTATAGACCCGTTTATAGTGGTTCAATATCAGTCGTGGCGTGACGTGGGCTTATCGTGGACCAATCGTTCCACGACTCAAGAGTGAACCACGAAAGTGTGGACCGTGGATTTACGATCAGTGTAAACTACCCTTAATCTTAGTTTACACACAGTTGACGTCACTGGAAGCGGCCATGTCAAACGTAACTTTTTCGCGCGAAACTTTTCAATTTAAAACTAATAATTGCCGTATGACTATAATATCCATAAATTTAATACAAAACTGCTCATATTCAATATTTTACAGAAAAATGTGCACCATAATAGTACATTAAAATACAAGTTTCATAAGACGCGCCCTTTAGAAAACTCGCCTCCGGCTCGTTTTCTAATATAGGGCTCGTGCGATAAAATGTCTTATGAAACGAATATTTTATACTATTTTTTCTATTATGGTATTGTTTAATTAAAAAAAAAAAACTTTTCTTGGAAATTTTATTCTCATATTTCCTGATTTCATATATTTAGGTTGGTAACACTACATGCCAAATATAGAAATCTTCTATTATTTTTTATCGCGAATGACAGTTCGATGGCCATCAGTCAGCCAGTGTTACCAACCTTCGATAAGTAAAAAAAGGGTGTCACAAAGAGTTTCTTTTCGAAACTACTTTTAGTGTCGAAAAGACTTCTATATGACACCAAAATAGAAAAAAACAAAATAAGCCATATTTATTTCTCATGAGAATTCCCTATTGAAGGATTAGCTCTTTTTCATCGATTTTCTACCTGCTGCCTTCAACTCACATATTGTATTGTCAAATTCGGTGAGAAATTTACTCAGTGGTGTTCCTTCTCCATATTTCAAGCCTCTAAGCTTCTTTTGTAGCATTACCTGCGTGGAAATGCCTTTTTTCGCATATGTATTTTCCAGGCTTGCATTATTTCAGCTGCTGTCTTTTTTGTTTCGACAAATCGCAGAATATTATCTGATAAACACTGTATTATCAACTTATCAGCATCAGTAGGATCAGGCTATGGCTCTGTTAAAAGCGACAAAACTTCCTGCTGTTCCAGCAGTAACTTGATCCTGAAATTCCAGTTCGAATAGGCTGCGCCATCAAATGGTTTGACACAAAAATTCAGATTAAGATTCTTTTCCGCCATTTTACGTTGTTCCGATCTGTGTATTTTTCCCTGCTTTCGCCCTACACTTCACCTTCTAACCTCACAAATTTTTTCCTGCAAATTCCACAGTAATTTACTATTTTTCCGGCTCTTCTGGGCCCATAACCTCTAGAAGGTTCGTGGATCTTCAATAATACAACAGTATATTTATTTATTATTAACTTCCAATAGCAAAAACTAAACTTTCACAGGACGTAATTAAATGCCGTTTTCAATTTCTAATGTCAACAACAGAACTGAACAGAACCGACTTTTTCCCATAATCCCATTTCCTACACCAACTGGTGTTGACAGCTCAACTACTACTAGCGCCATCTAACACAAAAATAATAAACTTGAGAACAGAATTGTACAGTTTAAAATACCATGTACATTTTTCTTTTCCATTTGAACTCCAATAAGAGGATTCTATCTCATTATCTTCCACAATTTGCCTTTACATGCCAGTGATAATCTTAAATGCTAAATCCGAACGTTGTAATATTTCCGGTCATACACAAATTTTGACATCGAAAATGTCACTAATCAAAATTCCAAGCTAATCATAATAATGTTCAAGCCAATTCCAACCCAAAATCTAAGCCCCCAATACCTAGTAAAATGTATATCGAGATTCGCAACTTTACCTATCCATCACGTCCCAATAGTCATAGAGCAATCCGGCAAAGGTGAGCGAGCGCTCGACATTTACTCCCGCCTCCTGAAGGAACGAATTATTTGCCTCATGGGCCCAATAAACGACATGACTAGTTCAGTAACAATAGCTCAGCTTCTTTACTTGCAATCCGAGTCGACCACCAAACCCATTCATATGTATATAAATTCACCTGGTGGGGTTATAACTTCGGGGTTGGGAATTTACGATACTATGCAGTACGTTATGCCGCCTATATCGACTTGGTGCGTAGGACAATGTTGTAGTATGGCGTCTTTATTACTTGCTGCTGGAACAAAAGGTAACTAATCATGCAATTTATTTGAAATTTCTAAGTTTTAAATTTGAGGTATGAGAAATTCCTTACCGAATGCAAGAATAATGATACATCAGCCATCTGGAGGAGTCGTTGGTCAAGCGACAGATATAAAAATTCAAGCGCAAGAAATCCTAAAAATCAAACAACAAATTAATAAACTGTACGAAAAACACACAACTATGACCCTGGAAACAGTCGAGACTAGTTTGGAGCGTGATAATTTCATGACACCCACAGAAGCTAAAAATGTCGGCTTGATCGATAACGTTTTGAATAATTCGCCGAAATGTAAAGATAAAGAGGTAATTGATTTGACGACACCACGATTCGAGAGTGAGGTAATGAAGACAGTATTTGCTAGAAAATAATATGCAGCACTTAAGAAACTTTCAGTGAAAAATCTAATACCGTTAAATGGACATTTCTTGTATTTTGAAATGCAATAATAATCCGAAAATAATCTTTTATTTTGATTTTTCCTAACAAACTTTAAAGCTTTTTAATTAAACTAAAGAAGTGGTTTTTCATGTTCTCATTCCGAAAGTTGTCACAAGCCGAAATGTTTGCCTAAAAGCTGGTAGTGTTGTTTTTATTTTGGTTGAGGAGCGAGAAAAGTATTTTAAAAATTTAATTATGGTTGGCAATTAAAATTCACCCCCAAAGAAAAAGTTTTGTTATCAAAAGGAACTTTTTTTTTTCGAAAACTTTTGCTTTTGAAGCAATTATTCAAATATCAAACGCCTTTAATTTCGCCCCTTTCAACTAACAGGTCGATAAAAAACTATAAATCGTATACTTGACAAATTAATTTCTTATTCAAACTGAAGTCTCTTATTACATTGACACTTCCACACCCTTTAAGGCGACGGTCTGATGACGTGGCAATTTTTTCCATGAGGCACAATGTCTCAATAGATAAATGGCCTGAATGAATTAAAATGATATATTTTCAAAAATACGATAGGCTATTAAATGAAAACGACTTCTCATCAAATTCAGGCACCCCATGACCAAATCATCCCCGAAAACGGGGTGTAACTCACAAAACGAGAGAGCCCCCAGACACAATATACGATGTCACAGCTCTGCCATAAATCACAGCCACAATTAAATCATGGTTAAACGCTGTCAACTTTAGCGAGGGTCACCTGGACCCTTTGCTCTGTATTAATATCGCCAGGAATTGGTTGGTTTTCATGCAAAATTGGGATCACCTGGGTCCCTTGTATCGTCTATTAATTAATGTTCGCTTTCATTGAAAATTCAAACAATTGAGGGAAAAGTCTGCATAATAATCAAGAAAATATGCTAATGAAAAACCTTTTTTTAATGGTCCTTTTTTTAAAGTTTATGCAGCTCGAGGCATGGCACTATGGTAATGCACCGGAAAAATAAGTTGGCCTTTGATGTAAATTACTTACAGCATTGCCGTGGAGAGTCTTGTAAAAGGACGAGCAAAAAAATTCACAATTTGCGTAATTTTATTTTTGAGGAGACTCTCTTAATGAACAAAAGGGGAGAATATGAAGACGCTATGGTTACATGAAAAATTAGTTAGAATACAACAGAAAGAAAATACAATAACGGACGAGATTGTTGTTTGATAAACTGATATTTAACAGTAACCAATCATTGTTTGAATCTGGTTTTATTATATCGTGTTCGGCCAATCTTCTTTGTTTCAGGTTTGTCTTTTTCGTTCTTCCAGTTTGTAGGCGATCTATTCCGTCAGGTTCAGGAATTGATCACTTTTATATTGTTCATAACTCTGTTTTTGATTCGTTTCAAATCGAAAGCTTCTAACAGGAACTCCTTAAGATCTGATCAACTACGAGGCATTTTTTGCATCGAACTCATGGGTAAGGTACCTGCGTTGTTATACAGTTTACCAGCACGATGTTTAATATGGAAATCTGTCTGTTGCAACTTCTCCATCGAAAGCCAAGATTCACCAGAAGGAAAGCAAGATCTCAACCAGTCTCGTTTGAAATGCCCTGTTATTCCGCAGCAGTAACATTTGGTGCCTCTCTTTAAATTTCCTATTGAAGGCTGAAACTTACCAGCAGTAACATTTCAAGTTTCCTTTATTGATTCGTATTTCTTCCAGAAGTTCTTCAATTATTGTGTCTTCAATTTTTCTTCGAAAGATATTGAATCGAGAAATTTCCAGAATCAAGTTTTGTAGAAAACGGCGCTTGACTTAGTAATACCGCGAGACGAGACTTGACGAGAATACGCATTCTCCTGTTTTGTCTCGAAGGTTGGAGTGAAAATGAGCCTCTCGTTTTGACGTAAGACCCTCGATACGAGACGAGAAAGCTTTTCTTTCGTCTCGTCTCGTTTTCTCTCGTCTCGTGAGTTTTCACACATAGTAGGTAAGTAAATAACGTCTCCGAAGACAAGAAAATGCAAAAAAATTATTTTTGCTCAACTAAAATGTATAATAATTACTCATAACATCCAAGGTTCTGGAAAATGTTGGAGTTTCCCAGTGTCCACAACTATTTAAATAAAGTCAGATTGACAATTCAACACATGAAAGGTGGCAAACATAATTTATCACATTTGCCCGGGTTAATTTTTCTGGTAATCTTCAAGATACTTCGGCGATTTTCGATTTCTTTTGAGTCCTTGAAATGTTTCTGTTCTAGCTCCACCTGCATCAGAATCAGAAAAGTTAACCGCTGCATTAGGTTGATTTAGTTAATCATCTTGAATAATTTCAGATGAGGTTGAGCTGTTCGAACCATTCAGAAGAGTGGTGTCTCCCCTTGATGCCAAATTTTTCACTGAAATGGTAGTTTCTTTCCCATCATCATAGCGTATCCAGGCGTATTCAGGATTAGCATCTATAAGATCTACTTCTTCAACTAAAGGATCATATTTGCTTTTCCTATTTTGTTTTTTTACAAGAACTTTCTGTGGTGTTGACAACCAAAATGGAATAGATGTGCCACTTGTAGATCTTCGCTGGTATGCAAATAATCTTTCATGAGGTATGCAGTTAGTGCTGGTACACAGAAGCGAGCGAATCGAATATAATGCATCTTGGAGGACAGTTTTCCACTATTCAATTGCGTAGTTTCTTGTTTCGAGAGCTAGTAATACTGGATTCCAAATTATACTGTTATATCTTCCTACTTGGCCATTTCCTTCTGGGTTATATGGTGTGCAGTGGCGGCTCGTGGCCTCTAGTGGAAGGGGTTCACACCTAAAGTAAGAGGACCCAGAAGTGATAGCCCAGAAAATGTTTTCGAGTGCTACGCCCAAAAACGTTTGTTTTGAGCCCCCCAAAAAATAATATGTTGTGAAAGATTCCTATGTCAAAGATTGAATTAAAAAACTTTACTCCTTCAATCGCCTAACACAATCACAAAATTTTTAGTATCTATATGTATATTGTAAAATAAATAAGAAAAACAGCCATTGTCATAAAAAAACTTAAAAATTCGACGATCCGACTCCCACTTCCATATCCACTATCCAGAAAACAAAACAAAATTATTAAAATATCTCACAAAATTATAATTTATTAATTACCGGGTTAGAAAACACAAACAACCACTACACACTGAACTCTGAGCTTTGACTTACTCATAGAACTTCAATTCCCTCTCCTTACCTCTATGCTAAACTTGAAAACATGACAAAATCTAAAAATAATATAAATAAAATTCATCTGGGCACAAGAAATGTGTGCCACATTGAACAGAAAAAGGCAGAGTTTCAAATCCTATCAGTGCGAGTGAGAAAGGGCTAGAATTCAATGCCGATTCGACGGCACATTCGAGTAGAAAAGGATGATATCGATGGCTGTCGACGAACCCGATGCATCGGTGCACGAGCACTGAATGGTGCGTTAGGGATATGACACATTGCGAGTTTGCGGAGCGGACGTTAATTGAATAGGGAGCTTATAATTAGGCTAATTCGGAAATTTTAATTCGAAATTATTATAATGTGATGATCGTATTTTTTTTTTCTCGAGGGGGGCACGTGCTCATGTGCTCTTATATGCAAGCCGCCACTGATGGTGTGGACCGACTGTGAGCTATTCCTCGGGATTGCACATATTCACTGAGTTCTTTAGATACTAAAGATGGTCCATTATCTGAATGAATGTCGGCAGGCATGCCAAATATTGCAAAAAACTGGTCAAAGCATGTTATGACAGTTGTACTTGTGACATCCGAACAAGGAAAAACAAAAGGAAATCTGCTGTATTCGTCCACAATGGTAAACATGTATTTAGCTTTTGAAGGTAGTGCTCCCTTGAAATCAATATTTTGGCGTTCTAATGGTTTTGTAGCTTTAATCAGGTGGCTATTGAAATTTTTGTGGAATTTTGGTTTGATTTTGTTGCTCACTGGACACTTTTCAGTCATTTTTCTAATTTCTTCTAGAGAATAGGGTAGGTTTCTCACTCAGACAAAATGATACACCTTAGTAATGCCCGGATGACACAAATCTTGATGTAGTTGGAACATTTTGTCTATTGTACAACTTGCTGAAATTCTCGAGATTGCATCAGCTGTGTTTTTATTTCCAGGCCGATAAATGATATCATAGCTGTAGCAAGCTAGTTCAAGTTTCCATCTCATGATTTTTTCATTTTTAATTCTACTAGAATGTTTAGTATCAAACATAAACGAAAGTGCTTGCTGATCTGTCACAACTTTGAAATGTCGTCCCATTAGATAATTAGGCCTATGATGTATCTACTGTTATTTTAACAGCTATGTTATAGCTCAACATCTATACTTCTCTCTATTTTGACGTAGAGAATAAACAGTGACAGGCAACTTAACGTTGCTGTTGAAATAACAGAAAATGATACATCATAGGCCTGAATGTGTCCATTTTTTTAACACTTCTACACATGCATACGCTTTTTTTTCTACAGATGAATGCGTTCTTTCTGATTCAGACAAGGTCCTTCAGAAAAAAGCTGCAGGTTTCCCTGATTGGCTCAGAGTCGCGGCTATACAGAATTCTGATGCATCAGTTTCCACAACTAAAGTTTCATGTTCATTTATTCACCAAAGGAGTGAGTTTGCAATGTCTGTCTTTATCGTTTCAAAATCCACGATTTGATTTTCTAGTAAAGGAAAATACTTACAGCTGACGAGACTTCTGATTTTGTTTGAAAAATTCTGTATCCATTTAGAATAATGGGAGAACATTCCTAGTACTCTCTGAAGTTCACTTGTGCTCTTGGGTACAGGGTGATCTATTATAAATGTAACCCCCTGCTAACTTTTTCATTTGACGTTTTTGACAAAAGTGTCAAATACAAAAGTTTCAAGAAATTGTCAAAAGTTTTTAACTAAAGGTCTGTTCCCACAGGAGTCTCTGACAGTTTGCAAACTGTCAGTAAGCATCGCCCATACATGTTTTCAATGCTGTCGTTACAAGATAAATCTGTAACTCAGCTGAGCGATTGTTTCTGA